ATATTCTGTAGGTGTAATCTTTACAGTCTAATGTTCAATGATTCATGTTAGGTGTCATAGCCAATCAAGAGGATGGAGAGAGAATGTTAATGTTGGTAATGAAGGCATAATGGATCAGGCTCATGATACGTCTAATTTAACTTCTCAACAGTAAAGGATTTGATGGATGCAATGGATTGGAAAATGGTTAAAGATAAATGGGATAAACATTTTAATTATGACATTTAAATCTCTAAAATGTATGGCTTTGGAATATATTTCTTAAAAATTTTAATTTACAATACTATGTCCATTTCAAAAATACACTAAATCATTCTTCTAATACACTAATCATCCCAAACTGGAACATACAAGGAAAAGAACATATGTTTGCAGGGCATGTAAATTATGGAATGACCTCCTATTATATCTGCTACTGCTACAAATTTGACACCATTACATTAAATATATTCAAGAATAGTAAATGTAACCACCTTATCATTACTTGTTTTATGCAGAATCTCATATATGCCAACATTTTGATAGTAAACGGGAGACTTGGTGCGAATTGCTACGAAGGCCTTGGGTTGTCCAATTTACATGGGAACAAGGGGGTGTAACCTCTGGAAACTAGCTATTTATTTAATGTAGGCCTATATAAGAAAACTTTTTGTAATTCTTATGATTTTAACTTGTGTGCTTCATTGAATCACATTATTGACTTCTGTGGTTATATCTATCAATTTCTCATTTGCTGGCCTCAAGATACAAAATCTTGAATCAATACTTGTCATAAAATGCATTTTGAATGGCCTTAAATTAATACAGATGTACTGAGCTGGAATTTCAGCAACTTAGGGGTGGGGGAGGGCAGGGTGGCTTCCCTCACCCTAGAATGTGCTACTGATCTGGTTAATGGGCTTCTTAACACATTAATTGTATTTGCTGCACATTGTGGTACTCATCAACACTGACTTCCAAAAGACAGTTGACATTGATATTAACCAAATAAAGTAGTAAAAACCTGCAAATATGAATTTGCGGGACTGGGGTTATCTTCTGGGATTCTTTCTTGCTTGCTTGTGGGAGGACGTCTTGATTTCCAGGAGACTTGTGAGTTGCGGGTTTTTAATAGGATATGGTTTAAAATTTGAATTAGTAAAAAAATTGTTAAATTTGGAATAAGATAAAAGAACAACGCCAAAAATATATGAACTTGTATAAGCACCATCAGATACAGTCATTTAGTGAAAAAATAATGGACATTTTGCTACATATTAAATTCATTAGTGACAATTCAACTTAATCTCTTGGCTACGTTAGCTGTAAATACAGTATATGAAATTAACTTACCTTTAACATTTGCTACACACTAATTTACTGTAGTTCTCATGAGGAAGTGAAGAGGGTCTTTTTTTTAATTTTCTTGCATTGATTTGAAGTGCGCCTCAAGGCTGTTTTATTGTGAGACACTATTAATCATAAATTTATAAATGGCATTTGGGAATGTTTGAAGATAGATCTGGGGTAAAAAGGTGCCACTTGTATGATTCAATCCAACCATGTCAAATAATATCCCAATAGATTTATATTTTACTTTCCTATAAATATGTTTTGTTATTGGCTTAAGTCTCATAACTTTACATATGGGGGTGTGCATACATAACATTCAAACATTCAAGTACATATATGGAAATAATAATTCCACTCCTATAGCACCAGCAACAACAATGAAAATTGAACCGAGGACAGACAAATGAACAATATATCATTACAAGTCTGATAGAATAAACTATACAAATGGCTGAGTTCATGTTTCTTGTGGTGTACAGAAAATTGCCAACAAGGGGTCTGACAGGGGGAATTTGTATGGCTTAGTATGGTCCAAATAGTGCTTTTAGACCACAATATTAAGTATTAGCAATTAAAATAACGTTACTTGGATCAGGCAAATATTTTTTTAAAGTTTTGATCCAACAATCTACTCTAGCCTCCACTCACCAATGCTATCTTTGTGGAAATTGCTCCTTATAATTTTATGTATTAGATATAACATGATTCAAAAATACAGTATTATACTAAATATTATGACGTTGTGTACAAAACACTTTTCACATCACTGTGGAATGTATGCTTTTAAATTATTCTATAAACATTTTAAAACTCTAAGAATGAAGTAGATTTCACACAAATTGTAAATTTATACATTATATATTGAGGAGTACAGATATGGAATGTGTGCATTTGAATGCATATATTTATCTTTTTCAACTTTAATTGGGTACTCATAAAATATTATCTTCTACATTTCAAAGTTCATTTCCATCACCATTTCCATCTCCATTTTGTCTTCTATTGGTATTAAATGCATAATTTGCTATTTGTATTCTGGATCTAAACTCTGCTTGGCTATGTATACGTAGGCTATTCTGTAGTAGGATAATGTTTAATTTGATTTTTTTAAAAATTTTGCTTCAAATGTGGAAGCAGTTTAATTGGCACAGCAGGAAACGGTTTCGTTTCTCAACCTCGAGATGTTCAATACCTTACTGTGCATTTCGCTTGTCCTTGAGCAAGGCACTTTTTACGTTGCTTTTCTCCACCAGGAGTATAAATGGGTATGTGGTGGGGTTGCCTTGCACCACTGGCAGCAACACAACATGAGCATGTGGACCTAATGACTAGGGAAAAACTTACAGCGATTCATATCTGTAAAGAAAGACACTATACGAATGATTAGATTAGATTAGAAGATACAATACAAACTTTAATCATATTATTCTTTATAAAAGTTTGGAAAATTTAAAAAAATATTCAGACATATATTATAATGTTTGTCTGTTTACATGTATTAAGATGGAAAACTACTACGATTCAGTCATCTATGAGCACTGTAGCCAGCAGAAACTCCATCTTGCCATCTCCTTGGAAAACAAGTGTGATGCAGCCAGAGATGCTACCAGTTGTTAACCCCAAGAAGGCAGCATTTGCATACCAATTAGTAAGTTCTATGATACGGGTCTGTAGATGTGTGAATATAAAACTTTATTGGAAGTAGTATATTTTTTATTCTTTGTTTACGACTCTAAATTGTTTACGGGGTGGGGGTGGGGGCTTTGCTCCTTGGTCCCCTTCTTCAGGACAAAGTTTTGGCCTACCTACTAATCCTCTCATTGTGTAAATTGCTCCTTATAATTTGACATTAGGTATATTTACAAGATTCAAAAATATTATACCAAATTTTATGATGTTCAAGTACAAAAAAAATTTTGTTATCTCTGTAATGTGTATTTTATTGTTATTAATTATTTTATTATTCATAATACTAGAACCTTAAGAAAGAATGAAGTAGACTTTAAACAAATTAAATCTTAAAATACAAATCTTACTCAAAATTATATATTCAGGAGCTGATAATGATTTGGAATGTTTGCAACTGGATCCATATATTCACCATCTGTAACTTGAATTGGGTTTTCATAACCATCATCTTCATTGTTTTCAGATTCATTTTCGTTTCCATTTCCATTTTCATTTCTATTTCTATCTCTATCTACATTTCCATTTCCGTTGTTTTTTCTAGAAGTAGTGAATATGTAACAGGATAATACCACACTAACCAATATACCTACAGCTCCAATAATCGACAATATAGCAATAACTGTATTATTGTTCTGGCCAGAAGAAAGATTTTCTTTTTCTGACAGCTGATCTTGGCTGATGGTTGTGGCAATATCATGTCTTTCTTCAGTAGATTGTGAAATGCTAGAAATGCTGATGGTTGTAGGAATACCATGAGTTCCTTTAGATTGTGAAATGCCAGAAGAGGTCAATTTACTTGTTGTCATTGAAGTCTGATAGCCAATGACACATTCCTTTGTGTCTGTTGATCTTGTACTGGTGGCTCTACATGTGAACCACTGATTGCTTGATTCAATAGAAATTGTGTATGACAATAATAACGTTTCATTAAATGTTAACTGTGCTTGGGATGTCAAGACACGACCACCAGTATTATCAATCCAGGTCAAGGTTATTTGGGGATCACTTGGTGAACTTGTGCAGACTATCTGTCGTCCAGGTTCACCTGAAGTGGTTGAGCAGAAAGGTTGAGGAATAAGGTTCCTTATAATAAGTGTAGACAGTTTTATATTGTCAGGTGGTTTTGTAGGAAAAAGTAAAGTACATGTGTATATGCCATGGTCAGTTTCTTCAATGTCATTAACTTGTAAACTTTGCATGTAGTTATTCTCTGAAGATGATACTCCATTAACACTGTACTTTGAAGAATTACCCAATACCATGTCATTGTTTGCGATGCGGGCATTCTCTTTCCACCATATTATCATCGTATTTTCACTCGTTATTTCAAATAGCCCCAATTTTATTGTACAGGTAAATGTAACTGCATCAGTACCAACATCGACAGTAATGTATTCTGGAGAAACTTTTACACTGTACGACATTACTTGCAGAGTGGTAGCTAGTATTATAATAGATGATAACACACTTTTTCCAGACATTTTTAGTTTTTTAAGCAATCAAAGTGGTCAATTATCTTGAATGTGTATTGTATGTAGTATCTTCTCCACCTGGAAGATGGTCTTCAAAAGAATTTCAGATCTGAAGGGAAAATATGGAAACCATACAAATTTAATTTCACCATACACCTTTTTTAAACAGAAACAATTCAATATAAAATATATTTTTCAACAAATATTGCTTCACTCTGTTGTTATTAGGAGAGACTTCACAAAGCATAACTGAGCCCAGTTTTTGTACAGTACAGTGACACTGGACAGATTCTATTATAAAATTAGGAATTACATTTTAAAATAAATAATTATGAATTGTTGTTTATTTATTATAGTAGATTTTAATTATACTTTGCAAGACGCTGGAATTGGCTAATTTAATAAGTTTCACAGTATACAGTAAACATTCTGTAAATTATAAATATTTTATGATCTGTTCCTAAAGATAAAAAAATTCAAAAAGAGAGACAGAGAGATAAAACAAATTTAAAAATTCTTAGACCATATTGGAATTACTTGTATATTTAAAAAGGTTAACTTACAGTAAAACATTTCATGTAGAATTTTTAAAACAATTATCATTAAAAAGTTATAAAGTAATGGTTAATGGTTATTAATTTATAGAGCGCAAAATACAAAAAGTCTCTAAGCTCTATCAGGCAAGTGTAAAGTAAAATACATTAAAAACGAAAATGAATTAATAATGAAGATAATTATGAAAAAAGGCAACTCAATATCATTGTTAAGACTCAAACTAGGTCTGCAATGGTATGATGTGCAGTATAAAATTGCAATATAGATATTAAACCTTCAGTGCATATTTAGTTTCATCTACCTACAAAATTCCACAGTTTGAGGGAGAACATTGTTCATGTATTTCACTGTAATTTTGAGTTTAAGCTAGCTGCAGCTAGTTTGAATGCTTAAAAAAACATATAAATTATTAAACATAAAAGTTAAAGTATCTATTTATTAATATTCAAAATATGTAGAAACATGCATATTGTTTTATCCACAATTTCATCATGGTCTTTGCTTAGACAAAGTTTGTAAAATATCCAAGCATAGAAAGTGACAAGTTACCCAACAGAAAAAACTCTGTGCAAAAAGATAGGAAAACAAGAAGAAAGAAAGAAAAAAAAAAAATCAGAAAAATAACAGTGCTTTTCCGCTAGTGCAGGAAAAACCAATAATCACATATTTTTGTTGTGCCAGTATGAAATAAAGAAAACCCCTTGATCCTGCTGGTACTGGTTGGAAACTATGAGACCAATTTTTTGGACAGCTTTGCTCTCTGTAGGGAAAATCCAAGTACCCACCCTGCCTGGTTGGTTTACCAATTGTGTTTTCCTGTCCAAGTATAAAAGTTATATTTTGTGTAGTGATTTTAGATTAAATTGAATTTCTTAAAAACATGAAACCAATATTTCTGCTAATTCTGGTATAAATTAGTAATTTCCTTGTTATAGGACGCGCGTAACATGGCTGTTGGTCATAGCAGAATTTTGTTATATACAGGGTCAAATTTTTAGTAGGGAATATATAACATTACACAGATATTAAAATTAACCAACTAATTTATACATACAGTACCACAATTTTTGTGAAAGTTCTGCTGCACTTTGCACATGTTACACCTCAGAGGGGAATTAAAAGAGTAATTTTTATTTCCTGATTTAGTTTTGTAGATGAATGATAATAAAATGTGTATTATCATTTAAGTTTATCAGTTTATTTAGTAAAAGCAGCAAACATGGTTAGAATTTTTTATTACACAGTATGTGTGCCCTGAACAATGGGGCCTTTGTATTCTTGGTCCTGCTACATTCCAATTGTATAAATTAAATATAGATATAGGGTAAAAACCCAGAAACAACAATCTACTAATATATACAGTACTGAACATAGCACAAGAACATCTAGAGCAGCCCTTTATAGAGGGAATATCAGAGGTGGATTTATGAGGCCCCCCCCCCCCTCTCCCACCTTTTTGAAAAGTGAAAAAAAGCAAAAAAGCAAAAGGAAAGAAAAATTGATCACCCAAAACGCCTCATAGGTTATTTTTCGAGCGTTTATAAAACAAAAACTTTGTGGGGGCATGCCTCCTGGACCCCTAGGTTGGTGTTATCTCAATCGGCCCCACTTTCGCCCTCACCCCCTTTCAGACATCTCTGGATCCGCCCCTTCTTAGCTCTGCTCTGTGCCTAAATACTGAACAATACACAACACAAGTTTCTGTAATCTCAACCTTGTCTTTTGACCTTTTTGTCCCAGCTAAAGCTCATAGACTGCTTCATTTAAATTTGTTGATGATCTGTTCATTAGTTTTTAGAAGCTGGATTCTGTAATATATAAATATTAATGTAATGTAGAAATCTGATCATGAAGTAAAAGAATGTACCCAAAACCTTTTATTTAGACTGTACGTTACAGGTCAAAACCACTAGATGCACATTGTAATGTAACATATTAAATCCTTTCCGAGCCACTTGGGGCTCAATGGGCTGGATCTTATCCCCAGTTTCCGTAGTGTGAAGCGGATGAGAGTTGTACTCCCCCTGGACGGGACACTAGTCCGTCGCAGCTTACTCCCCAACAGTTTTGCTGGTACCCATTGAGACTGAAGCAATGTAACTAAAGTGCCTTGCCCAAGAACACAAGCGAATCTGCACCGCAGATCAAAACCAGTAAATGCACATTGTAATGTAATGTAACATAGTTCAGTTAAATAGCACTTTATAGCGGAGTCTCAAAACGCTGTGGACTAGCTTCTACAGTAACTTTCTTCTTCCCTAATGGTCTCTTCATGTCTGAGCTACCAGGTAAATCGGCACCAGCTACTCTTGTCTGTCCACAACATTACAACCATAGCAGCTCATGACCAAAAGGACAATGTCAGGCACTCTGCAACAATTCATTGCCAGAATGTCGGAGAAAAATATTGAAACATGGTGTAATTTTTGTAGGGAAGTACTTTAGTCATTAATTCACATTCTCCCGATTGTATTGTTCAATAGGAACCAGAGTAATTTAGTCTAATTTAGTCTTCAGTAATATATTAATGATTAACTTTAAAAAAAGCAAAAAGTAACGATAACAGTGTTATTTTATTATGTAGGATCTGACTTGTACAGATTACAACATTCTAATCACAATATACTCTAAATAGCAGTGATCACATTTGCGCTCTAATTCGAAGCACAGACTCTTGCAGACCAAACCAAGTACTGTTACGATTTTTAATCCTGCGAGAAATCCACTCATGTGATATGAGGTGTATTTTTATTCAAATTTGAATTATGTGTAAAGCTAAAGTACATTTAATGTGTTCTGAGTTCCTATAAACTTACATTTTAATTGATAAACAGTAATGACCTATTTTTGTTTATAGTTCCTTATAGTCAGCAGAACTGCTGATTTCTTTTTTCTGGGCCCCTGGGTATCCCCTATCACCCAGCCATAGATTTCTATCCCTATTATAAATTACTTGTATGTATCTGGAGGTACTGGTAATTGAGATTCATTGTGGAAATCTACTCAAATTTGTCTACCGCAATCAAAACTAGTCATTTTGTAGGTATTTCACACTTGAATGATGACTACAGTGCTCTAGGAAGCAGTCGATGGCCCAGATCTAAACTGGCTTTGCTAGGATTACTTAAGTCATGCTTCTCCTATCATCCTTGTTATCATCATCGTTTTTAAAATCCAAATGCAGAAAGAAAATTCTAATATTTGAAGAAATTTATTCTAACAAGAAGTGCATTTCCATGTAAAAACTTGTTTTCTGGATTGAAAAGTGAATTCCACCCTAATCATATAATTCCACTATAGCAGTACCCATTAAACAAAGACCTGGATTTGCTCCTGTTATGACTTGATGGTCTATGACTGAAAGATTATGATTTTCAATCACTTTTTGTTTTTAAAATTGTGGTTTTTTTTTAATTTGTTGGTTAAAAAGTTTATCAGATATATTTAAAAGTGTGTTCATCACTGACAAATGATAGAATATTTTATAGTCTTTTTTATTTTATTACAAATGAAGATACACTGCATATTTTCAATGCTGATTGTATTATGTACTATATTGGTAAAACTGAAAAATGATTATATGCAGATATTTATTTTTTGTTAAGGAAAAATCGAAATAGCTGCGATGGCTAAAACCACTATATAACTATACTTAAATATACAGAATAAAAGAAGCTCCATATGCAAAATTACTATACCTAAAGATTTTTCAATAATTTAATCTGAAAATATTAAAAGCAAAACCAAAAATTATATAGTGGGGGAATTTAAGCCGTATCTCTAATGTATATACTTTTCTAACATGTAAGAACTCTAACAATAAAGTAAATTTAAACAAATTAAATCTTAAATCATAAATCTTATTCAATGTTATATGGGCCTATTGAGTTCTTGATAATAATTTGGATTGTGTGCAGTTAAATCCATGTACCCATCTTCGTCCAGTTGATTTCCATTTTCATTTTGTCTTCTATTGGTAAATATGTAACATGATAATGCCACACTGACCAATATACCTACAGCTCCAATGATGGACAATACAGCAATAACTGTATTATTGTTCTGCTTAGGAGAGAGGACATTTTCTTTTGCTTGTTTCTTTTTTCTTGTTGTCATTGAAGTCTGATCACCAATGACACATTCCTTTGCATCTGTTGATCTTGTACTGGTGGCTCTACATGTGAACCACTGGTTGCTTGATTCAATGGATGTGCATGATAATGATAACATTTCATTAAATGTTAACTGAGATTGGGATGTCAAAACACCACCAGTATTATCAATCCAGGTCAAGGTTATTTGAGGATCACTTGGTGAACTTGTACAGACTATCTGTTGTCCAGGTTCACCTGAAGCATGCCTGAAGTGGTTGAGCAGATAGGTTGAGGAATAAGGTTCCTTATAATAAGTGTAGACAGTTTTATATTGTCAGGTGGATATGAAGGGAAAATTAAAGTGCATGTGTATATGCCATGGTCAGTTTCTTCAATGTCATTAACTTGTAAACTTTGCGTGTAGTTATTCTCTGAAAATGATAATCCATTAACACTGTAC